AGGCCCAGGGGGCGAGGGCCGGGGGGTCGCACCCAGTGAGCCATGGCTGCCTGGGCTGCCTAGAAATGCAGTCCAGCCATGGAGCCACCTGAGCCCTGCTGCATGCCTGGGGGCAGCCAGACGCATCACAAGCCAGCCAGCACCTGGGCCAGGCGGGACTGAGGGACCTTGCCCACCCCTATTCTAGCAGCTCTCTGCTGCAGCTCAGTATCATTATGCATGGTGGATCTCACATCCCCATCTTTGTGTGTGAGGAGAACACCTTTCCCCATCCTATCCCATCCCCGACTGTTACGAATGATTCTGATTTCAGTTTTGCAGCAAAAGATGACAGTCTGATGAGGATCCTGGGGATCCTGAGAACCTGGAAAGGTGTCACCTCTCCCCCACTGTGGCCTTTCCCCTCTCCTGCACCTTGTTAATAGCATCACAGATCAAAGCTACTCACCCTTTCGGATTTCCTCACGGATCTGGGACTCCATTTCTTCCATTTGGAGCAGTGTTTTTTGCCAGTAGCGCTCTGCCCTGCGGCTCTTTGTGCAAAACACAAACAAGGCTGTGGAAGAGAGGGGGAAAAAGAGATTTCAGATGGGAAGTAACAAAGGGTCCTTTGGTCACTTGAACCTAAACTGGTGAGGGCCCCTAAGGGGAATGCACCTTTATGTATAAAAAATTGGAAGTTTTTGGCTTAACCACTATGAAATCTGATCAGATAGCTTTTGATTATCCACAAGTTAAGTCAAACCAGCTGGAATTTAATGATCACACCACAACTGTCCTCTTAAATTTAGGTCTGGAAGTTACCTATATTGCAAGACCTACTGTACATTAATACATTCCAGCTGATTAATAAAAATATATGTAAAAAGATGTAACACCTGCTGTATAATATGTGTGTCCATTAAGAGGTCCTAGGCCTCCAGAAATATGTTTCCAATGATCTGTGGTTTCTTTAATAAATACTGTATATAATAATTTTTATTAAAAATAAATGAAATCCTTATTGGGAACACCTCATTGACTGTGACCCAATGCTTTTCTTTCTGCAGTCATTCTGGGCATGTGGCAAAAAAATGAACTGGCCAGAGGACGCAGCTGTTTTGAACAGCTTCTAATGAGAACACAGCCTAGGCTAGTAGATTGAATTGTCTCCTCTAGATATGAAGCAGTGAACCCAATCTTACGATCCTTATGATGTGAACAGATCCTAGCTCTCTTCATTTTCCTTTCCCCCAGTTAGATATGATTTACCTCCATGAGGTGTTTGAGGGATAGAGAAAGAGGCTCTGAACTAGAAAAGGGTTCAAACTAAATTCAGGTTCAGATCCAGGTACAATTCTGGGGAACTTAGATTCAGGGTACAGGCTTGGACCATTATGAAAAGAGAAATCATTTGTTGAATTTTGATCTGGTTTAAGATTTAAAAGATGCCCAGAGTTCACAGGTTTTCAGAGACAGATCTTGGTTTTGGCTCTGAAATGAAGCTGTGTGGGCAAGTTATCCCATGTGTGTGAACACTGCCATGCAGCAAAAGAGTTCAGGACTCTCCATTCCCTTACCCACAACAGATACAAGCAGCAAGACGCTGCAGATGACTATGGAGACGATGATGGCTGTCTCGCCTCCCCCGAGGTGCAGCATAGCAATCGTCTGGTTGAACTTCCCCACTTGGATCTAGGGAAGGAGAGGGAGAAAAGAGGTCACGTGGTAAGTTAACAAGTGGCTAGGAACACAAGAGGAACCAGACCATGCAGCGGAAATACCCACCAAAAAAAGGGAGCTAACCGCATGTTGTCTCAGCAGTACTCAGTCTTCACGAGGGGCCCTACACTGTACCCACCACTACCAATGCCTGCAGGGTGGGGTGGTCTACATGCATGGAATAGACCCAGTTCCTCTTATGCGCACCATAAAATGGAAACAACACTTTTGCAGTTGTGCTAGTGTAAGCTGGTGTGACAAGGCAAGTCTAAGCCTGCTGCACCATCTGGCCTGCTTCCAGTGACACATATATACCCCACTGAGGCTGACGGCTGCCAGCTAGTGGCAGATGCAGGAGTCCTGTGGACTCCTGGGGTGCTAAGTGAGAAACTCCCTCCAGTATCTCAGGATATGTAAGGGTTAGGTCCTTCCCAATAGAAGCCAGGGGGCACAGACACATTAGTTAATTCACTCCATACTGTGAAACTTGTCCAAGGGACATGCCTTATTAAAGGGCCTCCTCTCTTAATAGACCATCTCTAAATGTTCCCTGCTGTCACAGAATTAAAGAAATTCCTGTTCCAAAGAACTTAAAATTATACAAGGTACCATGTGTTCCTCCTTTATTAGCAGACTGCCTTCAGCCACCACCCACTTTGCCAGTGTCCCTTTAACTCCAGGCCCGATGTACTCTCTGCCCCTACCACATGTCAGGGTGAGGAGACTTGAAAGTCACAGAAAGAAAAAAATTAAACTGGAAAATGAAAACTCAATAACTGTACTATTAACTAGGGGAACAACCATATTGTGGTTCAGACACACAACCGGAGAGTCAAGAGACCATGGGTCCAACCCAGGCATGTACTTCACACTTCCCATGACATTGTGGCTTCCTGTGACACCTAATCCCTCTAGACCTCAGTTTTCTCCCCTTGGACAATGGGGACAATAGCATTCTTGCACCTTGCAGGGCAGCTGTGAGGTTTAACTCATTACTTTTTATGAAGGGTTGTGAGATCTTGGGTAGGGGGGAGAGGATGGAGGGCCAAAAGGAAAACAGCTTCATCAGGGCAATGGGAACTCTTGAGTGTGCATGGTGGTTTCACTTCTGGAAATGGGAATTTTACTTCTCCAATGGAATGAGAACTGAGAGAGAAACAAGAGCAGAAATTCGAGCGAGCTTCAGGAGAGGGGGTGATGTAAAGATCTACTGAAAACTTCCTGTCTCAGTCACACTGCAGCTGAGGGATGGGATACAGGCTATGGGCTGGATGATGAGTAACTAGCCTTGTATAGCATGTAGAAGCAGGGCAGGGCTGTAAGGATGGGGCCAGCTCTGCCTGCTAGGACTGCAGAGAAAGAATCCCCCCTGTCCTAGGCTGACATTACAGGGGGGAACTGGGCCTGGCAGAGCCCTCCTCCTGCTCCTTGGCACCAGCTAGGCACTATGAGGGGAAAAGAGCATGTTACACTGTTCCTACCATAAAGCACTGCTCCACATACAGCCCTGTGACTCCTGGAGGTAGCATGATTCCCATGCTCATCAATACTGCCTCTGACCATCAATGCTGGGCTGCACAATTACTCCTCTTCGCTCCCTGCTCTGGGCCATGAGTTGGCTTCTACCTACCTATCAAAACTGAATCTACCACTAGGCAGCTTTTCAGACAAGATATATTTCAGTACAAAGTGTGTCAGAAATCAGTCATTTTCAATGGGAGCAATTTTGCTACTACCCTGGTGCTGTAAAATGGTGTTGAGTAATATAATAGCCCTGTTGTAGGTGGCAGAAAAGGGATCATCAGCTAGCTATAGTTTTTATAATCTAAATAAGAAAATGAATAAAAAAGGCATGGGTTGTTATGATATACAAGTGTGTGCATGCTCACGTGCCTACGCTTGCCTATACACTTACACACCATACTTACAGGCTTTAGTGCATGCATGCATCCATAAGCCTATCCAGTGTCAGGCAGTAAGAAGCAGTACACACTGTAGGGAGGATTTTCCTGTATTTTGCCTAAAAATGTCTTATGGGGAGAGATGAATTAGCAGTGCACATTCTGGAGGTTTTATATCAGTCCACCTGCCCCCAATCTTGCATTATTGCCAGGTAGTACACATCCTAGATTCAGTGTTTAAATGATTCTGTGACAAACAAAAGCAGGTTTGAAGGTCTCCAAAGGCCTTCGGGTTTTTTGGTAGATCTCTATTCAATAGACGTTTTATAGGTGTGTGTCTATGGGCCAAAGGAAATTAAGGTCAGGGTTAAACGGCAAAGTTTCCTGACTCTACCACATGGTGGGGCTGTAGAATGGTGATGTAGGATGCGTCTCTCAGGCTTCTCTTCCCATCTGGGGAAATATCCACTGACGTCAATGGAAGATTTGCAGATTAGTTCAGTGATCTTAGGGATCAGAGAATTTTACCCATAACAGGTCACAGCCTTTCCATGTAATGCAATGACTGACCTCACAACAAATTATGGGGGGTAAATCCAAACATTCAGAGAGCTAATGACCAACTGTAGCTGCATATCTCCTATTTAATCATCCACACAGGAGCATCTACACCAGTAATGAATTGGGTGCAAATTTTGCATTGACTCATCTGTAATGGGAATTGGGCACAAACCTTTTTATAAATCTGGCCCAATATTAATAGGTCCTATTAATTTATATGCTAAAAGGAACTTGTTGCATATGAAGTTAGTCAGCAGCATATAACTCAATCCACATTTGAAGGTATAATAGCTGCATACAGGTCTGCTTGCACCTCTATTGCTGGTATATGGTTCATAACCAGCTGTTATTTTAGTAAAGTGTTGTTGTCCTCTTTTGCTTAGGAAACTGTGTTTGCTTATGAATCTCTAGGGCATTACCCAGAATGTTTTCTGTCAAAACCAAATCTAGCAAGCTGTTCATCACAAGCCCACTTAAAAGAAGATTTCTCCAGGCTTTCAGTTCTCATTAAAAAAAAACAACAGGAATTTCCCCCTTCAGCATTTCCATTAAAATGGCTTAGGAAATTTTGAGTTGTTACTTCTGCTTTTGTTTTGGATCCTTGTAACAGTTTCATGTGCAAAGGCTATACACAACAAATAAGAAACCTTCCCCCATAGAAGCAACGGGTATTTTTGCTGAGGTAATCTGCTTCTGGGCAATAGCAGGCCACAGATTCCTCAAATCCCTCTGTACCTTCTCACTCCTTGCCCATGCTGCTTGTTCTTGCCAATTCAATATTAACACATTTACTGGAAAAAGACTCAGCTGGGAAGGAGACTACAGGTTCTCAGGCCACTGACACAGATGGAGATATTGTCTCCAACTGTGAACAGCTTTAGACTGGCCTCTGAGAAGCCAAGGTACTGGATATGAAAAGAAAGAAACTGAAAGCAAAGGAACGTAATTAGGGACGCCCTCTGGATAAAAGAAGTAATGAAGACTGGTAAGTGTAAACCATCCCAGGAACAATCAAGAGTTCCTGATCCTTGAGATCCGTGAGACTGAGAAGGGGCACAGAAGTGAGATTAGTGTTGGGGAAAAGCAACCATTTCATTGCCCATAAGATTTACAGCTGCAAGCATCCTAGTGCTGTGCTCACTGCAATCCACCCCCCGGCGATACTGCCAGGACCCCAGTCCAAGTGAGGAGAGTTTAGCTTAGGTCTCTGTGCTCTTCACAGCAATTCTGCTGAGACTGGTAACAAGGGATCCCAATGACTAAGACTGTAAACTGAACTTGGAATCCCCAAATTCATGTCACATGAGCCAGCAAAAACAGTGGGATTTTACCCTGAACTGCTGGGACCAAGGAATCTCCCTCTGCAATGTACAGTGAAATCCCATGGTTCTCAGACTAACCCAGCAGGACCAGCTGCAGGCATCTGACTGGATCTGCTCAGTCGCCCACAGACTAACAGCTGCTTTTCTCAGTGTTTTTTATATCATTCAATCATTAGGCAAAACCCTGAGCGGTTTTCATCTCTAGTAACTCCAACTGAAGGGGTGGGGGTCAGCACCACTCAGTATTTCACCAATGGAAATGAGAGATGGAAACAGCCTTCAATTAGTCCATCCTCCTCAGCCACTGAAGAATACAGTAGATTCATAGATTCATAGATGTTAGGGTCGGAAGGGACCTCAGTAGATCATTGAGTCCAACCCCCTGCCTTGGGCAGGAAAGCGCATGTCCAGCCTCCTCTTAAAGACCTCCAAGCTAGGGGAGAGCACCACCTCCCTTGGAAGCCCATTCCAGATTCTGGCAACCCTTACTGTGAAGAAGTTCTTTCTAATGTCCAACCTAAATCTGCTCTGTCAATTTGTGGCCATTGTTCCTAGTTTCTCCAGAGGGTGCCCTAGTAAACAGAGCATCTCCTATTTCCTGCTGCGGCAGCCACAATATCACCTCTCAGCCTTCTCTTGGGTAGGCTGAAGAGGTCTAGGTCCCTCAGTCTCTCCTTGTAGGGCCTTGCCTGCAGGCCTCTGACCATACAAGTGGCCTCCTCTGAACCCTCTCATGATTCTCCGCATCCCTCTTGAAGTGCAGCGCCCAAAACCAGACACAGTACTCCAACTGCGGTCTGATCAGTGCCGCATAGAGGGGAAGCATCACCTCCCTGGACCTATTCATCATGCATCTGCTAATCCACGATAAATTGCGATTAGCCTTGTTAATCACTTTGTCACATTGACGACTCATGTTCATCTTGGAGTCAACTATGACTCCAAGATTTCTTTCTGCTGCTGTGCTGCTGAGAAGGTCACCCCCCAACCTGTAAGTGTCGGTGGTTCTTTTTGCCCAGGTGCAGCACTTTGCACTTGTCTTTGTACACTCCCTAGAACATTTGGCCAGGCTGGTGTTCAGTGAATCCTGAGGATGTCAGGATAAGCATGAAATTTAAAACAATGAGGATTCTTGCCTGGCAAGCTCACTGCTTCCTGGTGGCCAGTACTCACCGTCACGGGCAGCTGTCTTTCCGAGGTGCTCAGCGACTCATTGACTGAGCAGTGAATGACTCTGTCAGAAACAATCTGTATCTCACAGGAAATGAGGCCAATTTTCACTTGGTACTCGCTGCTTTCCAGGCCCAGGTTGTCAGACTCTTTCTAGTTCCAAAAAAACAAAATTGGGAAGACAAAATGAATTAGTCGTTCTCCAAAGTGCTAGGCCTGTATGCACTGGCCTTTTCAGAGAGAGCCCTGGTTACACTTGCTTCATCTCCTGCTGCCTCTCCAGCTCTGCAAGCCCTTCCAGTCACCCACCCTCTCACCTTCCCCCGTTGTCCTGTTTCCGGTCCCTCACCATTTCTCAGCATGTGATGTAGAGGGGAAAAATGCCCTGATGAAGCCTGGAAAATACTGCTTTTGATTTGCTCTCTTTGTATGCAGCAAATGTACTAAGACCCTGCCAGGGATTGGGGAGGAAAAGGAATAAAGGAGATGGTGCCTAGATAGCATGTTGGTGAATGCATGAAGTTAGAAAGAAGGGACACTCCCAGTTCTTTGATCTGCTCAGGAGAAGACTGGAGACTCATCAAAACGTAGGACTATCTTCAGGAATGAGTTGGCCACTCTCCTGTGAATCTCTTCCTCCCAGTGCCAGCCACCAATTAATTCCAGCCACATCCACTCCTCACCCCTTCCTGATTGCATTCCTAAGGCACTCATTGCCATGGTGTCTAGGCACTCTGCCCACAGAACAGCTTCCCTACAAGGACATGGCTACATCTCGGTGCCAAGAAGTCAGGATGCCCTGTCAGTGTCAGTCTCTTACATGTATAACCAGAGTCAGGGGCTCCCCGGGATGGTGTTTGATCCACTTCTCCTTCCTGGCTGTGAAGAACTGAGGGTCAGCATAGTATTCCAGGCTGAATTTGCTGATGTGCATGGCCTCCTCGGGGTACATGTCCTCATCGGGAGCTGGCCTGTCATCGGCGTAGAGGCGCTCATTGATGTAGAAGTCCACAGGTGCTGGCTTGCTTCCTGTGGTGAGGTTGGAGGCAGCTGGAGAGGGGCAGGTAATCACAGTGTCGGTGTGAACCTTACAGTTCTGAAAGTAGGAAAAAGCATGCACATCAAACATGTGGACGAGACTTGGGTGTATCCATGTCAGCAACTGTCCTGACAGGCCCAGGGACTTTACCCAGTGGGAGGCTACCTCAGATAGGGTTGCTCTACTTAGCCATGATTGACAAGCAGCTGTGTGTGCCAATCACAAAGCTAGGCACCCTCATGAACCAGGCAAGTGATGGCACTGTAAACATCATAGATGATAATAATTACAGTGCGTGGGCATAAATTAGGTCTGTCACACTCCTGAGCTAAGGATCATAACAGATTCATCCTAGCTACAACCCCAATCAGCAGTGAGGGTTAGGGACCATGTACAGGTTGTACTATTATTCAGAATATCTCCTATAGCCAGGCCTGCAGACCCAGGCCCTCTTCTAATACTATGGTAAGGAAGGATGCTTACTGTTTTTTCTTTTCCAATGCCGTGAACCACCATTGACACATTCTGAACCATCCCAAACCCATTTCCTTCCAGGGTGATGATTCTGCCTCCACTGAAAAAAATGGAAGGAAAAAAAAACAGATGAGAATGTGAGAGTAGGTATTGCCGATGACATGCGAGTCCTGCCTTTACTGTGTCTTTGGTGTGCTCAAAAGTGTTGACCGGGGCACACCCTACCCACCCGCTCAGCCATGCTGAGGGCCTCACTTCCCATTGTCCTGAAGTAGAGATCTCTGCCTCTGAGGTGGTTGACAGAGGCAGTTTGGGCACCCTTTGGGTACTTTGCTGCCATATCTCTAGGTCTGGCACATGAGCAGTGGGAATGGGTAGGCTGGTAGGGAGCATGCTTGACAGTAATCTTGAGAGTGCTCCTGGCAGGGTATTGATATATCCAGAGGTTTCTGGGGAAACCAGGCACAGGCAGATAAAATGAAGCTGTTCTGCTGCCAGGCAGGTCAAGGAATAGACTGTTCAAGTGTACTTGCTTGGCTCATCGAGTATAGACAGATAAAAGTGTACGTGTGCCAGGTGCCTCACAGTGTTTCAATGGAGTAGGCTTCCTGGGAAATGGCAATGTAAGTGTTAACCTACAACTCGCTGGACACCAGTTCATGCACTTATTCTCTTGGTTCATCCATGAAGGGCTCAGTACTTAGGGAGCCAAGTAGCCCAAGGCACTGAGACAAAGCCTGTGTCTCCCAAACCCCTTTTTTGATTTAGAAAAAAACTGCAAAAATTATTTTGCATTTTGGACCTGATGCCTCTGGAATGTGAAATGTGGCACCATCAATGTGCAATCAATTAAACGGAGTAACAAGACGGCTCTGCTGCACGCATTACTGGTGGGGAGGGGATGCAGAAGTGGCTCTTCCCCTCCAGTTAGTAGCAACAATGTCCCAGCTTTGCTCTGCACTGTCTGCACAGGGCCTTTCATTTACCCACTCCAATTGTATTTGCTTTAATGAGGTGGTATATCAGGGAACCAGGCTGAGGACTGGAGGGGGAGAGGGATATTGACTTCTCCCTCGCAGCTCTACAGATTTCATTATATTCGGGAGTATTGTATCCAGGGCCCTTCTACTTGAGTCTTTAAGATGCTCCAAGTCCTCGTGTGGTGTTAGCACGCAGGTCTGCAGTTGAGGACTGGTGGCCGAGTGACTGAGGTACCCCACTACAGCTCCAAAGGAATGAATTCCAGCTTCATTCTGGACTTGTGCTGCAGGCTGCCCACAGGCAGCCCAGCTGTAAATGGGTGCACAGTCAGCTGGGCCGGGGCCTCAGAGATAACTGGGTGTGATGCTGGCCAGGCCATTCCTTTATGTGCTATTGGCTATGGATGCTGGAGTGCTTTAGCCGTGCTAATACAGTGGACCTTCTACACTCAGGTGGACAATGACTCGATTGCTTCCTGTGTCTGTGAAACCATTTAGGATCCACAGTTCATTTTAAACACCTTTATTCCTGCTAATGCTGATGAGGTTAGCAATGTCATAAGCCAAACTAATTCCTAATTAATGATGTATATTCTCAGATACCTGCAGTAATGAACTAGTGTGCACAGAATTCACAAGCAACCCTCCAGTAACAAACTACTGTACACAGTACAAGCCTTATAAGAAGGGATCCTTTTTCTGTTTAAAAATTGCATATTCGCTGATAAAAACATCCTGGATTCTCTGATTAAAACATCCAAAATCCACATTTTTCTATGATTAAAATGAAACACCACTATATATATTCCAATAGCAATTTCAAATTGCTTTAAAATAGTCAATATATCAATAAAACCTTGTGCTAAATTGATTACGCCTTATAAGAAGGGATCCTTTTTCTGTTTAAAAATTGCATATTCGCTGATAAAAACATCCTGGATTCTCTGATTAAAACATCCAAAATCCACATTTTTCTATGATTAAAATGAAACACCACTATATATATTCCAATAGCAATTTCAAATTGCTTTAAAATAGTCAATATATCAATAAAACCTTGTGCTAAATTGATTACTATAATATATATATATATATATATATATTATAGTAATCAATTTAGCACAAGGTTTTATTGATATATTGACTATTTTAAAGCAATTTGAAATTGCTATTGGAATATATATAGTGGTGTTTCATTTTAATCATAGAAAAATGTGGATTTTGGATGTTTTAATCAGAGAATCCAGGATGTTTTTATCAGCGAATATGCAATTTTTAAACAGAAAAAGGATCCCTTCTTATAAGGCTTGTACTGTGTACAGTAGTTTGTTACTGGAGGGTTGCTTGTGAATTCTGTGCACACTAGTTCATTACTGCAGGTATCTGAGAATATACATCATTAACCCCCCATCCCTGCCAGTGACCTTCACTCCCAACCCACAGCTCCTTAGCCCTGCCAGTGCCCCTCATTCCTAACCCACAGTCGCCCCAGCCCTGCCGATGCCCCTCACTCCTGATCCGCAGCCCTCTGTCCCCCTACCCAGCCCTGCTGGAAGGGACCCCCAAGTTCCCCCATGCTGCCCAGCCTGGAGTGCAGTGGACTGCAGCAGCTCTTGACTTGTGTGGGTAATGGCAGAGGAGGACCAACCCTGGCATGGCCTGGAGGGAGGAAAGGATGCCTGTGGCACCCCCCACCCTGGGCTGGGGCTCCTGTGCTGCACCAGGTGGCCTGATCACAGCCCCTCCACCCCTGCCAGGCAGCATCTCCCAGCCACCCTGCCCCTGTGAGCTTCAGTACGGGCCCTGGTGCTGCTGGCCAAGCCACACAGCTCCCCACCACCCCTGAAAGGCCCCCCCATCCCTTCTGGGGCTGGAGGGGCAGGCAACTCTCCCTACCTCCCTGCCCTACTGCAGCCCCAGCATCAAGACAGCTTCCCCCAGCACCAGCAAGCACCACCCCCTATCACACACCCACCCCTTCCACACACCCTTGCACCCCCCAACACCCCGACAGTCCCCAAGCCCTGGCCCTCCAACCCCCACCCTCAATAGACTTACCTGCATCCAGATGCTGGGGCTGCTCCCACCACCCTGCCTGGCTGTATGCTGGACACTTGTGTGTGCGCATTGCCCCCTACCTCCAATTGCCCTCCCCCTGCACCCCTCAGCTCCAAGCAGCTCCTTGGAGGCTGGAACACTGCTAGTCTGCAAGGGGAAACCTGTGGTTTCCTGCAGTTTTCTCCTTTAAGGAAAATCTACATTTCTCCTTTAAAGAAGAAAAATATGTGTTTTTTCCTTCAAATGAGAAAATCCACATTTTTCTGCAGCAAATGGAAAACCCGGATCCCTGTGTCTGCAACAGAAGAAAAGACTGCTCTCAAGTTTCTGATGTTCTAGTAAGTACATTAAAAATCAGTTTACAAGTGAAAGAGAAGCATTTTGGTGGTTTCTTTCTGCAGCTATCACTCTGTGTGGACACGCTGTTGCTGCCATTCAGCATAGCCTAGAGTGTGATTAAATTTTATGTGAGGAGCTGAGGGTTGGATGAGTCTCTGCTGTTCTTTGTCACTCATTCTTCCACAGCCTGTAGCTTTGGTATTGCCTTTGAGATTATAGACCTGTACCTGTTTGGTAGGCTGTGGACAGGCTCAGACTGCCCTTGCCTCCACAGTGCACATGGATTTCCTGACGACGCAGCTTTTGTTGCATTTGGTCAGAAGGCTCAGGTGCTAGGTTCTCAGATTTCTTTCATGGGACACAGACTTTTCAGATGGAAGAAGAGAAATCCATAGAGACATTTCACACAGAAATCCAAAAGGAACAGGAGCTTGGGAGCTCCGTGGAGACCAATGAAACCAAAAGCAATGTGTTGTGGCAATGAAATGTGGCCCAGGAGCTGAATAACTATAAAATTACAAATCTCAGTGGATCCCCAGCAGTTTCGTGGCTGGTGAGAATCCCTAACAGCTACATACATGGCTCCACCTGAAGTTCTCTAATGCACCCAGCAGACTGAGGGAAAGACAGGGAGTAAAGTTACAAAGGATGCATTTCAGCTTTATTGGACTTTCTAAGTTTCAGGAAAACTAGTTAGCGCCATGTTCACTGCTCTGTGCGCCAGCTCGAGCAGCTCGGCCACTGCACCCAAGTTGTGATATCTACTTTCATTCCCCTCATTGGGTCACCCCACTGCTCTGCTCCAGCACCTTAATTGTGGCCTGCAGTACCCTTTGTTCCTTAAGCTTTTTGGGCATAGGTTACCAAGCAGTGGTGCTTAAGTACCCGTACCCACCAGCAACTGGCAGCACCTTTCCTGTACTCTTCAATGGGCACCACATTCACCTCTGCAGTCACACTTCACTGAAGCCCACAGAGGATGCCTGGGAGGTGCTGCCTTCTCTGCCAGTGGAGGTCCCTCACCTGATCTGACTCTTTTTTGGCGTGATGTCTGTTATGACTGGGTTCTTCTCATACTTGAACACGATGTTATCATTTGTGCAAGACTTGTTCTCAAACTGGACGCAGACCCGTGCAGCTGTCGTGCGCTCCACTGCTGGCATGATGCAGGTGATGGTGGTGTCAGTACGACTGGGAAGAGAGAGACACAGCAAATGCAGAGCACATCCTCAAGGCAACAGAGACTGCTCCCAGATTGGAATCTGGGCAAAGTAAGCAGCAAGGACCCATAATCCTGTTCCAGCTTGACGATGGCTTTGGATTTAGGGAGTGCCCTAACAGTGGAAATACTTTATACTTCAAGGCACTTTCCAGCTGAGGCTCTTAAGGCACTGTGCAACAGCAATGTGCTGGGATAGGCAAGTGTTGTCAGCATTTTACAAGTGAATAGACCAAAGCACAGAAAGTTTAAACCAGTAACCGAGAGGAATACTTGGCAAAAGACATCATGGCTCCCTCCAAATGGAGGCACCTAACTTTATAATAATTTTCACATCCCCAAATGGCATGTGGGGTGGTGGTGAGACAGTCATACATTAAATAGCACAGAAACCTTGCCCTGAGGAGCATCTAAAAGGACACAAGATGCAACAGAGGAACAGGAATGCAGTAGGGCGGGGAGGGCAAAGGATGGAGTCTCTAACAAGATCAAAGCAAGGCTGCATCCATAGTCTGGTTGGATTCCTTTCCTTTGCTTTTAAAATGACTTCCTAAGAAGTGCAGTTACACATTCAAAATAAGGGAACACTAAAAAAAAAAATCAGCCTAGGTGATTTGAGTGACATCTCTGCATCTCTGGCACAGCTGGAAACAAAGCCCAGGTATGTCTTATTTCTGGGGCTGTGGGTGCAATCAAAGACCACCCACAGAGCCTTGAGGGCTGTATAAACTCTCTGGGAGAATTGGTTTTCCCTGGCTGGAAGCCAGCCACCACATCTCGGTCATAACTAGGCCCACCGGCTTCCTCTATTTACGCCAGAGGAACAAAGTCCACATCTCTGTCAGGCAGGCACATGGCAGTCCTGTGTCACCACAGGAAGGCACAAGATTGCTCATGATGGCTGGGATGGGGCCAAGGGGAACTAAATGGGCACATTTTGATATTACTCTGATGCCGTGGGGTTCCAGGCACAACTGCACTCTGCTGGCTATCTGGATGGCTCAATGGACCCCTTCTTTCTTCAGACTATTGCTGGAACAACACGATCCTTCCTACTAACTGGTTCTGCTGACTAGTGCATCCACAGCTGATCCTAAGTGCCAGCTCACAGCCTCATGGGTGACCTTGAGACACCACTTACCTGATATCTGTGCACTGTCTGGTGTTGTTGACTAGGACACGGAGCTCAGATCCCACACTGAGGTTATTCCCTCTGATGGTTACTTTGGTTCCTCCAGCTTTCGGCCCCAAACTTGGAGTTACGGAGTGTACCACAGGCAACTAAAAAACATGAAAAGGAAAGTTTTCAATAGTTTCTTAGCCCAGTAATCCATACTTAGCTCACCTGAATATCTCACAAATACATGGGATGTTGTGATGTTTATCATAACTGCCTGAAGTTAACAGGCCCCACAGCCAGAGGTATAGCTGGCGCACAGGTCACTGAGAGTGAGAACCATGTAAAATGTCTCCGTGATGTAAGAGCAGAGTTCTCCTCCATGCACCTACCTCTTCAGATGTACTTCCATCCTGCTCCAGAAACTACAAAAGGGATAAATCAGGACCCCAGTTGCAAATCTTCTTGAGGGGATCCCCGGTAGGGAGCCTGAGATTTTTGAGATCTGGCAAGACACCCACTTGGGTATAGATAACTGAATATCAAAATAATTTTCCCTTAAGCAGGATTCAAACCCAAATCTGCAAAGGTGACACAGTCTAGCAAAGAAGCCACAGAGGTACTTTGCTCCTTGTTAGATTCCTCCATCTTCCGAAGAAATAAAAATCAACAAGCGTGCCATCTAAATTTGTGGGCTATTAGAAATTTTACTGAGATCCGTGGGTTCAAGGCTTTGATGACTCATGCAGTTCCTACCCACCATGTGACTGCCATATAAAGTACTCATGGAGAGCTTCCCTATTGTGGCTTGAGCAATAAGCATAGGGCATGGCAAATACATGATTCAAGGCCCCTTTCCACAGTGTTTTGTGGTTCCAGTTCCTTATAAAATAGCAACAACATCCCCAAGGAACAAAATTTGCAGCATTGTAGTGTATGAACTGCATTGGAGACCTCTCTCCTACTGAAATCATTCCAGTAGCTCAGAAAAAAACACATGAGCTGATTGAAGTAAATACCGCTAAGCTGCTTCATATCTCATAGTGCTGTCAATTCCAGTTACACAACATGGTTATTATTAGTTACCCTTGTCTTTGTCATACACAGGCAGTGGATTCTGTTCCTTTATATTCTTTTCCTTCTGCGTTTCTGTTCATCTTCCATTTCTACAATATTTATTTTGCTGATTTGATTTAATGCCTCTGTAGACAGCCGTCCTGTGCCCTGAGCCCCTATCCCATTGAAATGCACAATACCACGCGCAGTATAGAGAGTGTTCCTGCCCATCAAACCCCTCTAGCACACAGTTGGACTCCTCTGGAGTCTCATTTCCAGTTTGTTAGCATTGAAGTTCTTGCAAATTCGACTCTGTTCACTAAGATGATGGCCATAAAGCCCTCGAATGGTTGGGGGCATGTTTATCTGGTGTGACATTGTTGGAGCCTCTCCATCTTCACACCAGCAGATAAGACCCGATGGAGATGGACTGCACAAGTTAACTCTGCAATGCAGCTACCTCTGGGGTGGAACACAGTAGCAATTTAAGCCCCTGCAGCTTCACTTCAAGAGCTTGTTTAACCCAATGGTATGTTCAGGTTCCAACCTCAGGACTTAAGCCTTCACAATTTTTTGTTCAGTTCTCCAAACCTTGCTGGGAAAGAAGCTGCTTTGGCAGGAAGGACCAGTCAATGATGAGACAGCTGCCATGCTATGTGAGAGGAGCAGAAAAGGCTCCCCCTGCCTTTTCATGGCACAGGTGGCCTTTGCCACAAGCCTGTCTAGGTTTAGGAGCATGATGCAAAGTTTCAGGTCATGCCATGGGCCTGTGATCTTCTTTCATTCTTTGGTGGTGATGCCTTGGCAGATGTTTCCTCTTACGTTTTTTCCTCACAAACCAAAAACCACTTAGAAAGAGCATATCCCCTGCATTGCACCTCTTTGTCCCCACCACAATCACTCAGCAGCCACCAGTATGGACTACATTTTCTGGACTCCAGCCCACACTTCCTGGTGATTAATGCTTTTCTATGAACCCAAATGCTGGAGAAAAAGCCACCAGGTCTCATCAGTGTTTGCAGACTGCTCTGCCCTATGCTATCACACGGGTCTAACTCAGCTGGCTTTTTCCCTGCTAGAATTTTTAGATATGAAATAGTGTTGCTGGATTCCACAGACTGGCGTGGATCCCAAAGTATACACATTGCCCCTGACCTTGAAGGGAACTCAAATCAACTACAGAGCGTAATGGACCTGGGACATCTTCTTAGGGGCTGTGCCCCACTGTCACTGGGATAGTCAAAGTCCACCCAGTTTATTATCTTGGAGTCACCCTTGATCAGACTTTAAAGCAGCTTTCTGGAGATGTGATTTGTAAGTTAAAAATCAAAACAAGGAATAACCTACTTGCCAAACTTGCAGGCTCCACTTGGGGTGCCAATGCCTCCATGCTACATTCATTTGCTCTTGCACTGTATTATTCAGTTGCAGAATACTGTGTCCCTGTATGAGCTTGTTCAACGCACAGCAAATGAGCAGACATCCAACTGCACACTATAATGTCATAGATTTCATAGACATTAGGGCTGGAAGGGACCTCGCGAGATCATTGGGTCCAGACCTCTGCCCAAAGGGCAGAAGCCAGCTGGGGTCAGATGACCCTAGCAAGATAAGCATCCAGGCATTTCTTGAAGGTATTCAGAGTAGGTGTTTGCACCACTTCTGGGGAGAGTCTATTCCAGACTCTGGAGACTCAGATGGTAAAGAAGTTTTTCCTTATGTCCAGTCTAAAACGGTCTTCCAACAGTTTGTGACTGTTGGACCTTGGCTTCCCTTGGGGTGCCGTGGTGAACAGATGTTCTCCCAGTTACTGAATCCCACCCCTGATATACTTATAGGCTGCCACCAAGTCCCCCCTGAGCCTTCACTTCTCCAGGTTGAAAATTCCCATGCCTCTCAGCCTCTCCTTATAAGGTCTGCTCTCTTGACCTCTAATCATGCACGTGGCTCTCCTCTGGATCCTCTCAAGCTTCTCCACACCCTTTCTAAAGTGTGTAGCCCAGAATTGCATGCAGAACTCCAGCTGCGGCCTCACCAAGGCTGTGTAAAGTGGGAGGATGACTTCTCATTTGAGATAGATCAGTAGATGCAAGCCAGAGTTTTATTTGCTTTCCCGGCTGCAGCGTCGCATTGGTGGCTCATGTTTATCTTGTGATCAGTCGTTACTCCCAAGTCTCTTTTGGTCGTGGTGCTAGTGAGTGTAGCACTGCCAAGCCTATAAGTATGATGTGGGTTCTTTCTCCCGAGGTGGAGCACCTTGCATTTCTCTGTGTTGAATGTCATCAGGTTTTGATCCACCCGCCTTGCAAGCCTATCCAGGTTGGCACATTGTGCCCCACTCTACACCCATGGTTACCAGTCCTCAGTAACATTGCTCCCCCTCGTCTCTGCCACATAAATGCTGAAGTAAACTTACTAGCCAGACTCCATGAAAATCCTATGCTGCCAGTGCATTGGGACATATTCCACCCACCAACAGCTCGGCTCCCATCAAGACACCCAATACGGTTCACCCTTTCAAAATCCTTTGACTTTTCCTTACTTACTAGATGGCATGAATAACGGTCAGCACAAGCACCAATCAATCACCACATCATCTCTGACCCTACAGTCAGTGAACCAGGATTTAACTGGTCATGCTGTTATTGGGCACTTCTCAACCATCTTCGAACTGGACAGGGTCACTGTGGCTCAAACCTAGACCATTGGGACGTTTGCAGTGACAACAAATGCCTTTGTGAACAAGTTCAAACCATGTCCCACTGACTCCTGTCCATTTACAATGCTATCTGGTGGCCTTCAAGCTCTTCACACTGGTGATGACATCACATTAAGACGGCTGAAACAATAAACTGAAACTGCACATGCTAAAAAACTTGGAAATACTGATGTGGGAGCTTATATGCAGAGCATTGTGTAGAGGGCCCTAACGTTAGGCTTGTAAAGTGAGCAGCTGAAGTCATCCCCAATAATGCTGACACCATGAGCTATGTTCTTTCTCTCTGCAATGGTGCGGAGTGGAATCAAGAGTTCCAGCAGGGGCGAACATAGGCTCTCTGTGGGATGACAACTTACCACATATGTGTATCGCTCCTTGGATTTCCCTTCTTTGCTCATGTTAACTGTCACCACATCGGAGAACACATCTGGGGCTTCTCCAGTCTGGCATACAATCCTGCAAGAAAGAGAAGGATGAAGAATGAGAGGGTCCAAGCTGTAAGGAGTACCCTTTGAGAGCACAGGCAGGCCGGCAGCAGATCTGGGTGAGACCCTGAGCTTCTCCTCACAATCTGCACCACTTCACTAGCACCAATCCAGCAGCAAGCCATCTAGTAACAACAGCAGTGCTTGCACAGATCAGTTTCCTGCTTTTTTACCAGCACATTGTCTACAGGTGCTTCAAGGAAGATAAGGAACCCAGTGGGGAAGGATTTCTGCGTGCCATCTACACTACAATTTCCATCCCACCACAATTGGAGCTGCCCCCACAGTAGTGCCAGGGAGGGATATTTTAAGGAAAAGCTAACTAGAGACACAGCCAGAGGCTCAATTAACAACATTAGTCACACAGAAGCTCTTACAAATATTCAGCCTCCTTCAGCACTCTCCAGAACACACTGCTGTTTATTCAGTACCTGCTCTTGCATAGAGCTGTACTCAAAGCATGGGCCAAGCTTTTTAATAGCAGTGTCCAACTATTTCCACAGTGGGTTACAAAACCTCGTTTGCTGTAACTCAGGCATGGCTGGACTGCTGGTGCCTCTGAGCACAGGCCTTCTGGATGGTTTGACTTGCTGCTCTGTAAGACTTTTCTTCACAGCCTAATATTGCCATCTCTGTAGGAAATTGGCAGGAGGCTTTACTTAAGCTTTTTTGGATGATTTTGCTCCCAATCAGCCTGGAGACAATCACCTCAGCTTCTCCCTCAAGCCCGTCTGACAGTGATAAGAGGGAGGTCTTTAAAAATAATGAAGTGAGTTTAACACTGGTGAAAGGTCTGACAGCTCTGCAGGGAAAAGTTCTTCATATAGACTTAGAACAGGTTCAGTGCAGGCAGCAGCTGTGTGAGCTCTCCCATGCTGTCCCACCCACAGGCCCCAACCCATTGCTGGGGGGACGCAGAGGTATTCAGGCTCCTTGTCCCATCCAGTTCTCGGCAGAGGTGGCTAAGAAGGGGCCAGCTAGGGTCCACTTCCAGGGAAGGATTTTGTGCATGTCATGTAGGCACCAGGCAGAAAATGGGGAGCCAGACTTGTCTCACTGGGTTGAAAAGTTGCCCAGAGATGGTAACACCGATCTGTTCCAAATAACTGTGGCGGGGGGACAGTGTCCCACACCATCCAGTTTCCCCATCGCAGGGCTGGTGGGGGGAGCTGGTTTGCTGGACAAGGGGAGAAGTAAACAAGCCCTAGGCACAATCCCCTGCTTTCCAGTGGCATGCTTTGACATACTCACTCCTCAGAGACCATGTATCTGTCCTGGAGTGGCAAGCATTTCACACCCCCTATCTTGACAGCGTGAATGACATCGCTGAACCTACGGCCCAGGTTCCTTCCTCGTATTGTGAGCAGAGTTCCTCCCTCCAGGGGCCCGCTCAGGGGCTCAATCTGCCAAGGAGCCAAAGGGAAAGGGATACGGGTTACAGCAGGACCACAGGAAAACCTTTTGCTTTGATTCCTCCGTGCATTTCTGTTCTCGCACGCATATGTCTATATGTGAGCACACACGCACGCTCTACTCAGCCTCTCCTTCTGGGGAAGAAAGGCTGCCTTTCACACCCTCGCCTCACCCACACAGGCCATACCCTCAGCATGCTCCGTCTGCCAGAGCTTTGGGAACCGAAAGAGTTCACACGTCTGCAGTTACTTTGGTGCCCACAGAGATTAGGTCACACACCATGGGAAATGCAGCTGACTCTGGGGTGAGACATTATGACTGCACAGCTATTGAGGAAAGAGAGCAGAGAAAAAAAAGTAACAGCAGCTATATCTGTGCTAGACACTGGCCAGGGCACCAGTACTGAAGTACTGGTTCAGTCGTGATTGCCTCCCACTGAATCAAACTAATTGATGCATTGGGATTTCTCATCTATTACTAATCCTGTTTAGTTGTGATGGGACAGTGTTAGGTCTGCAGGCCTTTGTGCCATTTTACTGCAGCCTTGGTTTGCTATTACTATAGCTGCTTCAGCACTTGGCTGTCATTATTCATCGGGCCAAGTTAAGTCCTTACATTCAGGAAGGGCTGTTTTCATTTTAGTAAACTTACTGAAACTTATTAAGGCAGCAAAGGCTGCCTGGTAACATCAGCCTTCCTCTGAGTGCATGTGGAGAGGCCACAGCTCGCTGGAGCTGCTGCCAACACAACATGACGTAAGCCAGAAAGGGGAAGGTCAAGAATGGAGGCTCCTTCTTCCGCCAAGCTGGTTAGGGCTGATAATATTACATTACTAAGCTCAGTGCCCCTTCTCTATGTAGCTGTGGTCCTCCTTCTCCTGAGGATGACTCTGTGAAAGCTAAAGCAAAGCTTGTTTGTTTCAGTGACGGAGGATTTGGATTCAGTGTCTTATATTTGCTAGGGACGTAGCCTCACAAGCCTGTCACATTCTGTAACCTGAATTCTTGTGGTTTGCTTCCATTATTTTTTGGCACAGAGCTGATAAAATTTTATACGCATTGGGGTAAGGCAGGCTCATCAGAGGACATTCCTTCCCCACTCTTGTGCCTGTGATAGTGACAGGATGGAAAGGGCTTTTGGGAATCAGAGAATTCAAACCACAGTGCTCAAATATGGACAGATATTTTCACACTCCTTCCCCATGAATAAACAGCCCCAGAGCTTGCCAGTTTTGGCAGGTTTTGTTACTGTTTTCTATAGGATCTTTAGTCTCCAGAGTTTTCTCTGTTCCCATGAAGTTTGTTGTAGGATTTCCTGCATGTGCTTTCTTATCTGGGACTCTGCATTAGGAGTGGAGCTTAGTGGCTGGTCCTCTTTTGCTAACAAATGCTCAAACCCAAGGACACCCCAGCTGGGAAATCCAAATGTAGGCCTTGGACCAACCTTTAAAGCATCATTGCAAAAAAGTCATTCTGTCATTCTGGATGGTGATAAGACCTCAGTGAATGGTGGCTGGAGAGGTGAGTACAGGTAATGATTTTATTTATACCAGATCTACCAACAATTTCTAGATAAAGAATCCTCTGGTTGATTTTGCAAAATTTCCTTGCCGGAATCTCTGCATCTCCCCCCTCACTGATAAAAAAAAATGGATGGCCTTGGAGACCGAGACAAAGTTTTGGTTTGTTTGTTTTTCCCACTAAAAGATCTGGATTGGATCTCAGCTGGGTGTTTTTTGTAGTTAGTGTGGTATTTTCATGCAGTTCTCAACTTTATCTCATGTCAAAGATAAAGTAGGGTTTCTTAGCTGTCCCCATATCAGTGCCCCTCCCTTTAGTTCCCAAATGAAGGGCTGTCTTGTTTGTTATGCTACATGCACGGCGCTGTTGACTGGCCTGTTGCTTCTGGGGGTATGCTCAAGCCTTACCTTCTGAATCTCAGGCGCAGGGCACGTGTTTGAGGTCTGCAGGGATTCAGTGTTTAGTCTGCAACTGGAGCTGCTCTCAGTCCAGGTGCAGCGGTGCCCCAGGTCCTCCCTCCCCAGACACTGAGAACAGTCTGTGCTTCCAGTTGCACAATTATAGACCTCCACTAAATGCAGGAGAAGAGAGATATTGTGAGATCCCAGATGTGGACCCATCATGATCTACAGAGTCAAACACCAAACCCACATATACATCTATACATACACATCATGATCTACATCGACATATACAGAATAAACTCTTTGCTGTTGGAAATCAAACACATGAGCAGAATAACTTGGAGAGAAAGCAAACAGAGGGAGTGTTGGCTGTAATGCTGAAAATTTCCCAGAAGTACTGGGAACTTATTCCCAGTGCAATATAATTTAGCAGCACTTTCTTCATTTTTATTTTTTTTAAAAAGCCTTTTGTCAATTTTCTAATTGCATTTTTCTAATTCTTGCTATCCACTTGGGATGGAGCTTAGCACAGCTGACCCCACCCTGCCAGCAAAACAGTCACTGCTTCCACAACCTGCGACAAGAATATGAGTGTTGCAATGATTTGTATGATGTTAACATTCCCCTTTCTTCCCTTTAGCAGCTACAAGCTCTCTTTACTGACTTCTCCCTTTAGAGTAGAGCTGTGCAAAGCTTCATGTGCCGATTCAATTCGGAGGAGATCTGGCCCGATTTGGTGGCTGAATTGCCAAATCCGAATCGAATCAGGGGAACAATAAAAAGGTCCGAATCAATTCGAAGCTCTCCAAATCTTCGAAAAAGATTCGGAGAGCTTCGATGATTCGGACAGTCCCTGCCCACTGCTGCGGGGAGGCGGAGCTGGACTTGGAGTTGGTAAGTAGGGGGCGGGCGAGGGGAGGCTGGAGGAGGGGGCAATGGGGGGAACCCTGTCAGGCCCTATCCCCTGCCTGCTTCCCCAGCTCTCTCCCAACCCCTACCCGCTCCCCCAGCCCCCACATAGCTGCCAGAACCCACCCCAGCTCCTGGGGCTTTTAAAAAAGCCCTGATAACCCTGGGACTCACCAGCTCCTGCAGCAGCCCCAGGGCTTTAGGGGGGCTTATGGAAGAGCCCCCCACATGGCAGGGGGCAGTGGGGGACAGTGAGGATCGCTCCCCAGCGGGCAGGAACCGGTGAGTCTGGGGTTTGGGGTTTTTTTTTCCTTAAAGGGCCAGAGCTGGGGCAGCCCTTGCCAGGCCGGGACAGCAGGCAGGGGATGGGCCTGTGTGATTCAGAGATTTGGCAGTAGCCGAATGTCCAAATCAGATTCGTCTGAATCAATTCAGGACAGTGATTTGAATCACCAAATCGAATCACTCTCTCCCGAATTGGCCGAATCTGAAGCAAATACTAGCTGCTTCGCACAGACCTACTTTAGAGCACCCAATGCAAGTGCTTTGAGCTCTTTAATAGCTAATGACTGGGTAATACCAATATTCCCTTCTCAGTTAGAAATGCTCTTTTCAGTTCAAAATGCTCAGGCAAAGTGATTTCCACACCCTACTCCCAACATCACACAGTTTTGGCAGTATTATATAAAACAAGGATGCAGCCACATTTTGCACTTAGCTTGAACTGGTCACCAGAGAGAAGTTTAAAGCACGTCATGAAAACTCAGCGTCTCCTCTGGCTTTCTTGTGCAATGTTACTCTAAATTTTGATTGGCTTGGCTTTTGGGTGATCAACATGGAACAGGACAGGCCTAGTTTTCCTCAGCTCTTACTGACTTCACTTGCAACTCAATGAATGCTCAGCACACTTCAGAACCAGAGGGAATGTTAGGCCACTTGTGTGGGTTTTAGATCCTACTCCCCTCCAAGGAGATGCAGAACTCCATGCAAGATGCCCATTATTTTGCTCAGTAAGCAAGAAGTTAGAGCCCTGGCTAAGGGAGTGGTTTAGAGGGGTGGAACACACATCTTTTATTTGCTAGTAAAGTAGGCCAACCACCAGGCCACAAGGCAAACTTCACTAAGAGGACCCTTCACCTTACCTGGTGAGGCTGGCCTGCTGGGCAGCCAATGTATGTAGGACCAAGATGAAAAAAAGCAGAGCAAGAAGAATGTGGCTCAGTGAGATGGAGCCTGATTGACCCTGGGTTCTAATCCTTGCCCTACCTTGCTAGGGAAGAAGCTAGTCTGCTGATATCCATCAATGCAGAAACAGTACAGAAGGAAAAAGAGAAGGGTAGTTCCCCTCTTCTTCAGCCATACTGCCTCTGGCTTACTTCCTCTCTTTGCTGAGAAATGGGCTCAGGTTAATGAATCTTCAAAGCTACTTATGGAAAAAGTTTCTCCTCTAGTCTCCAACAATTGCTGGTTTCATTTATCTTGAGCCCTGACTCAGCATTAAACTAGGTGCTCTTAATTTGAAAGGTAATAGTTTTACAATTTCCTTGGTTTATTCAGAGACAAAAACATAGTTTCCAACAAAGGCTGAGAAATAAAAATTTAAAAAGTACTGGGTCTCCAGTCAGTCAGGACTAGTTCCACCAGAGATAACTATCCAATGCATACAAGCTGGCCTAGTTACTTTTAGTCTTTGCCTGCAATTGCTTTGTAAGATTTTCTATAGTTTCAAATGTAGCGGTCTGGCTGAAGCAGAGAGGAGGCCAGAGAAATATGGGGAGTGATATGATCCAGGTTAGACCAAGTATCAAAATGTTTGGGAAATCCAACTGGAATTCAAACTCAGGAAGTGTAAGCTGACTGCTCCTCTGTGTAGCAATTAATGTAGATTCAATGCTCGCATGGACTCAGTGAACTACTAGGACATGGGCGATTCCCTTTCTGATTTTTCTGATTCCAGCAACACACACACAGGGTGCTGACGGAAGTGACAACTGTCATGCTATTGGACCCTTGAAAGCGCTCTACAGCCATGCCCTGACAGAACTGCATAGGGGTGCTAAGGGAGAGACACTGCTGACACACAGCTTGTCTTGGCTTGGCTCCAAAGTGGAGTTCAATCCCCCAACTCCCTGACCCAACAGCAAAAGTTTTCTGGGTCGGGGGAGGAGAGGCAGTCATTTACAACTCATGGCGCTTTCTGTAAAGCGCCATGAGTTACAGCAGGGAGCTGCACATCTGTCACTACCCACTTAGTGTTCAGCATCCTGTGGTGAGAAAACTGTCCTCTGCTATTCCCGGTCATTTCAAGAAGTCAGTGTGCTTTCTTGATCTTCCCCAAACAGCTTACTGGACTCTTTGGCTCCCCCATCTTGAGATTCCTAAATTGTTTCTCCAGTGCCTGATTCCTTTGCAAGATTTCTCCTTCCTATCCTCTGCTACCTACCAAGAACATCACTATCTGGACCCAGTCACCAACCTGTCTGTATCTTAGTCTACATCACTGGTAGATCATCTCCAGTTCTGTTGGCAAAGCAGTGAGTGCATGCATACACAAAGCCTCTCTGCGCTAGCAGAGTTACTAGATCCCTGCCAAGCAGAGTAAGGCTTTGGCTGCCACCCAGTAGCTAGCCAAGGGTGCACTATCATCACAGCCCCAGGACTTCAGTTGCCAGCCACAGTCTATCCAGTCCCTCTAGCATTTTGCTGTACTACAATAGAGTTGTGTGGAACCACCAGAAGTGGGAAGGTGTGCATGAGCTCTGGCAGCAGAATTAGCTGAGTCTAGACGTATCTTAAGTCCCTTGTCTTAGTCCAGCCTTACCACTAAGGCAGCTTGCTCCAGGGCTCTGGTTCTCTTCTCAAACCAATCAAACCTCTACTGAAACTATTGGAAGCTGCAGTGCAGGAGCACCGGAAAGGATTATGAGACTGGTATAGACATCACATTCAGCAAAAGCTTGTGGTTAGCTAGAGCATAGCAGGCAAGGGCAAGGGAGGGAGGTCAGTGCATTAATATCCTGGCTCCGTTGGCTGTTCTGCTAACCTAAATGTATTGTTATGTGTGCATTTTTAATCTGGTGCCTTTCCTCTTCCTTCAGTTTGCTGATACAACAGAGAGCTTTTGAAGAACCCTTCTGTCTTTCCTCAGAGATTTTCCCTGGACCGGCGGGGGGAGGAACTGTGTTTACATGTTTTGTTAACTGTGAAGGGATACAAGAGGGCAATTTTTAAAATGCATTTAATGCTGATCTTGTATTCCCATAAAAGCTTCTGGAGGGCCCTTCCCCCCTCTGTGCTTATCGCCTTTGAACTAAATTCCTTCCCTGACCTTGGAAGACACTTCACATATTCGTTTGGGATCTATTATTTCAAAATGTTCTGTGCTACACACTACTGGCAAGCAAGAAGCCTACACTGTTGTGTGAGATCTGTGTGAGGGTGGCCAGGAGATCTGTGCATGTGTGTGTGTGCGCACTTGTATGTCTATGGGGGTGTGAAAATATGCAACTTGTACACATATTCATACTGTGGTTAAAACCACACCTCTCTCTGCATGTATATGAGGGTGGGTGTGTGTCTGTGTGTGTGTGTGTGTCTGTGTGTGTGTGTGAGAGAGAGAGAGAAGAGTGAGTTGAAATTGTGCCCATGCATTTGATACTCAGAGCAATCTCTCATCAATCTTGTTAGCATTTTAGGAGCCTTTAACCTGATCAAACGAGAGCACAGTGAAAAATATCTTCAGCCCAAACCTGTCATCATCTGTGGATTGTCAATAAATCTGTCTGGTCTATGCTTCAGCTGAAGGTTTACCGGGAAGATATGGCTTTTCTCTGATGTGTGGAGCTGCATGAAGAAATAAATGAAGAAGTGCTAATGAAATTTACTAAAATAGCAGACTACCCTCTGCATGCATGCACCCACACACACACACACACACACACACACACACACCCACACACACCCCCCCCCCCCACATATACATGATGACTAACATTTTTCAATATAACAACGCTCCCATACTTTCTAGCATGGTTTCTCAGACTGCAAGGCTTATGTCTTTAACGGGGGTAGCAGGAAGAAAAGGAAGGGAGGGATATTTTTCTCTCTGAATTAATTCGTTTTGCTGAGACCACGATAAAAGCAGAATCATTCCCTGCAAATGCATCATTCAACAGGGCTCTGCATTTGCTGATGTCTATGTAAAGATGAAAAAGAAAAATGAACAGGCTACCCTGTTTACATATGTTGAAATGCTTGACCAAAATATACCATTGTTCCAAATTTATCTGGGGCAAATTTTCCTCTCAATGCTAAAAATGTCTCACTTGAGGGAAGCCCAGAAATTATCTCCCTCTCAAGGGCATAACCTGTTCCACAGTGACAACAATTCACTCTAAAGATGGGGTCTCTTTCAGCCTTTTCAGTCCTTCCTCTGCATAGAAGTATGGTGCATATCTTCAGGGCTAAGCATACCCCACTGCACTCTAGAGACTAGAGGAGGACAAAACATTTTCGCAAAATTCTTTTCCAGCAAAAATGCAGATTTGGCAACACTGAAACTCACCACACATTTCATTTGGTTTCACGTAAAAATATGAAAAGATCAAATGAAATGCTTCAATTTGTAGATCCCACACAACTGTTCATTAACAGCATTACTTCCAGTTTTATTTTTAAAAGAATGAAGAAAAAACTTATTTGAAATTGAAATGAAATGTTTTGGGTTTGGATCACTTGACCTGCAACAAATTACTTTTCAATATTTTGGCTGACCCAAGATATCAAAAAATTTTGTTTTGGATTAACCTGAAATATTTTTTCCAGGGCTATGAGTGACCAATAAAACATTTTCATACAGCTTCAACAGTGATGCTATATGAACTGGGATAGTTTGGGGCCTTTACTACGTGATACTACGAAGAGTATATTTAAATAAAGAGCTATTCTTCAGGCCACATGTTTTATCTTCCCAAGTTATAACAGGGTTCCTATCATTCCCATGGGAGATACTGACTCTTCCTTGTTTGTAAGGATACATAACATTATCCTCAATTAATACAGGGTGAAAGCTTCTTCCCATTCATGGTACTGATATGGATGGTAAGGAGGGAACAAGCAGGCCTTCTAAGGGCTCTGAGTGCTGAGTGCCCTCATCTCCCTGTGATATCAGAAGAAATAGAGAATACTTTATGCCTGGCAGGATTGGGCCCAAAGTGACAAGATACCCTTGTCTGTCATATGAGGCTTTTGTTATGGTCAGTTTAGAAGTAACAGGCTGAGAGGAATCCCTCCAGCTCAGGGGCAGGCAATTATTTCAGGTGGAGGGCCGCTTACTGAGTTTTGGCAAGCCCTCGAGGGCCGCAAATTGAGGTTGGGGTGTTTTTGGTACTCTGCCCCAAAATTTTGGTGACCCATGTACCAGATGGTCCCCAGGAAGCTGAAGTAGCCACTCTGAATGCTCTCTATGGCCATGGGTATGTACAGAGCCCTCTGGGGAGCCTTCTGGTGATGCTGAAAGCTGTTCTGGTTCCTTTGCAGTTTGCAATGCTTGAGGGAGAGGTGTTTTCTTGATTGCATGTGCGGGCAGTGGGACAGCCCCCCACCCCCACATTGTGGACATCCCTGAGTGCTGGGGAAGTCCTCGCAGATCCCTCCTCTGACGCGTACCAGAACACTGTTGCACTGAATGGCTGAAGAATTCACCCATCTGGCTTCAAACGTCCTATCGGTTCCGAAGTGACATTCCAGAGCTGTGTCCTGGAGGAAGGGAACAAAGGGAAAAGCTTGCAAAAAATCTTCTTTTGGGTTATTGCCTAACATTCAGGAGACAAACAGGGCTTTAACCCTCTGCTCTGCTTTCACTTGGTCCGGTGAATACCTGGCGCATCCCCATGGGTGGATAGGGATCCACCGGTGTCAATCAGAACAGGATCCAGAGTTTTGCATTTGGAGAGGAGGGTGGCTGCAGATCCTGACTCACCCTGGTTATTTGCTAATATGAAGGGAGTGATCGAGTAATGGCTCTTAAGCTAAACATCACAAAGGGGCTGGATCCTGGGCCCTCATCTGGCCCTAGTGTCTTGTCAGAAAAGTGCAGTCCAAGTCAGCTGCCGACTACCTCAAAGTAAGAGGATCCCTTGCTTATGTAGTGGGAAGCAGGTTGTCGAGAGGATACTGCTCTGGATATTCCTACTGGCTTCTATGTGTCTGGTATAAACAGGTGGAGTTCAGAGCTTTCACGTGGCTGCTCTAAGTTACATCAAGAGCCACCACTGATCCCGAGCAGGCTTGGCCGGGCCAAACTGTCAGTCAGTCAAACAGGCCAGTCAGTCATCTGGTCTTAAAGCCATCTTCATCTCCATCCCATCACCTGTGCTCATGTTGAGGTAAGGGAGTCTGGCCACAGAATGTTTGAAAAAGACATTTCTCTACACCGTTTTGCTACCACCAGGGGCCAAATCCTGCTCCTGCTTATCCTTGCATAAGCAACTTATGGGCCTGAATCCTATCTCTGAGGCTAGTGATCCATCCTCTTCAATGGATGAGCCCTACAGATGTTCTATCCCAACCAGACAGATTTGCTAAAACTGCCTGAAGTGTGAAAGAAACATCAGATTCATGGCAGAGGCTCGCTGTCTCAAACAGCATGTGAGGGGTAGCAGAGAGAGGCTGAAAGTCTGTACTGTGAGTCATTTATACCAGTGTTAACTGCTGCTTTTTAAACTAACCAGTGCCCTCTCTTGTTTTGTGAACACATTTGTAAATTCAAGAGCAGTAGCAGTGGATCTTCTGCTCTGACAAGGATCAGGAGACTTCTGGCCCAAACTGGAAATGGTGGTGCCTCAGGCACTTTCCTGTTTACTTCATTTCCTATCAGGTTACATATGGTATTTCTTCCTTTTTAGCCACCTTGAAAATTTCCAGAGGAAGAGCAATCCACCACCAACATTTTTTGCTGACAGTACAAGGGACACATCCTTATTTATGCATGCCACACCTTCAGC